GAAATCTTGCACATTCCCCCTCTATTCAGCCCAGAAGGTGAATCCTCCCTGGACACTATAGTGGACGCTATCATCCCCTTAGTCACTTAGTAGAAGTCTTTTCATTTTTTACTTTTTTAAGAAACAAGGTCTTGCTCTATTGCCCAGGCTGGAGTGCAGAGGAACTATTACAGCTCACTGCAGCCTTAAACGACTGGGCTCAAGCAATCCTCCTGCCTCAGCCTCCTGAGTAGCTGGGACTACAGGTGATTCCCACTACACCTGGCTAATTGCAATCTTGGTTCAAATCCATTATCGCGATATGACAGTGTTTGTATTCAAATAACCCTTATTTTAACTTAATAATGCCCTGAAAGTCCAAGAGTGCTGTGCCTAATTTATAAATTAGGCTTTACCATATGATATATGCATAGGACAAAACATGATATATATAGAGTTTGATGCCATCCACGGTTTCAAACATCCATTAATGATCTTGGAAAGTATTCCCCAGAGACAAGGAGGGACTATGGTGTTTGTTTACAAAGCTCCGCCCTTCCCTAAAGGAAAGATTTCATTACATACAAAATGTAGTATCTTGAAGATCATTTACAAACATTTTACTCTCTGGAAGCAGTGTACTTCCCTGACCCATTGAGGCAGAACCTGGTCATGTGATTTGTCTGTCTAATGAGATGTAAGCAGCTACGATACATTCCATCTCTGAAAATAAGTCTTAAATCCAACTACAAGTTCAAGTGGGTCTCTTTTTTTTTTTTATCTTGTATTTCATTTTTGGCAAAAGAACAGTTATCTCACTTAGGGGCTAGTCAGAGACTGTTTTCTCCTGCAATGAGAAGAGTTGCAGGGTCACCCCCTACCCCCACCACCCCCGCTGACTCATAGCTGAGCTACCGTTTTTACGTAAGTGAGAAATAAACACTGTTGAAAATTTCTGTGTTATTCAGGTTCTTCATTATCATGGATAAACAGGCTAATATAGGGTAATATATAATGTATTATGTTTCTAAAAACTGATTCTATTGTCAATGCTAAAAACACTAGCCTCCAGCACTTTAGAAAGGCACTGGGTTTATTGATATCTGTCTATTCAGTTAAGTCCAAGTATCCCGGCAGCTTGGTGAGGGCTTGGAAAGTTTCTTGGTTATAACTATCCATGTAGTTATCCGTGTTTGTATATAAGATAGGTTGAAAAATAATGTACAGAAATAATTGAGGGTGTTCTCAATATATGGAATAAGGAAAGAAAAAAGTTAATTTCCAGAAAGCTTCCCTTACTTGTCTTTCTGCCCACCCATTTCTTGACTGTCTCATCCAATACACAAGACAAGAGAAATAGCTAATCTGATTTGCCATAATCAAACACATTGATTTGCTTGTAGGGGAGACTGTGGTTTTAAAAGATGTAAGCCCATGGTATACTCTTTTTGTTCTTTCTTTGTCTGTTAAGTTTTTGAGTAAATTGACCTAGTATCTGACTTGTTTTCGTTTGTTAGCTTTGTTTTTTTCATGTTGCTGTTTTGTTTTGTTTTGTTTTTTCAAATGGAGTCTTGCCCTATCACCCAGGCTGGAGTGCAGTGGTGTGATCCGGCCTCACTGCAACATCCACCTCCCAGGTTCAAGCGATTCTCCTGCCTCACACTCAGGAGTAGCTGGGATTACAAGCAGGCGCCACCACACCTGGCTAATTTTTTGTGTGTTTTTCGTAGAGGCAGGGTTTCACCAAGTTATCCAGGCTGGTCTCAAACTCCTGACCTCAGGTGATCTACCTTCCTCAGCCTCCCAGTGCTGGGACTATAGGCATGATCCACCGTGCATGGCCTAGTATCGGACTTCTTAAAACAAGTTCAATCCTATTTCTCTCCGCGTGTTTCCTTAATCATGTTTGTAAACTCCTGGTTACTGTATTAGATTCTTGAATAGAGTAGAAAGTGATAAGATGCTAGCATTTATATGTGGGGAAAGAAGGAAGTGTCATTTATGTCTTAAGTATTAAATGGATTTCTCTTCATGGCTTTATTATCACTATCTCAGTTGGTGAACTTAGCATTCATATAATTATTAAAATATATTATTTATTTTCCACTTATAGAATCCTTCAAGAAGGAATATACTGGCCAGGTATTAATCAGGCAACATCAACATATAAGCATAATATTACCAAATACATTAAATTCTCATTTTAACTCCATCCATGCAAGAGCGTCATTAAAATGACGCACCTCAGAATATAGTGAATAAAAAAATAAATAGTTTACTCATAAATTAGCATGAGATTAGGAAGAATAAATCATGTCAGTAAGGACATAAGATATGTAGAAGGATAGGATGTTATAGTGAGAAAATGGTGTATTGTATTTGGTGCATGTGTATTAGATATTTTCAGTGCTGGATTTTGACAGTGTGTGTGGTGTGGCCAAGCTGTGCACAGCTAAAATGAAAGTGATACCCAGTTACTAGAATTTATCAGGTCAGGAAATCATAAGGCTAAGGGGCAGTGGTGTGAATGTTGAAATTCCTCAGTTTCAAAGCTGAAATTGGGATGGAGTGAAAAAGGCATCAGATTTCCACGTGTTTGGTGAGTTTTTAGTTAATAGAATCTGTGAATTGATGATTAATCTTTTGAAACTGGCAAGGGAGATTTAGGGAAAAACAACTGTTCGTTGTATATGGGACATGATAGAGCGTCTGAAGGTTTCATTTAAGAAGGCTGCAGAGGTAGCAAGATTCTTGGGAAGAGCTAGGTTTCACCAAATCAAGTATTTGGATTATAGGTTCTGAAAGAGATTGATAATGTATGGTAATATGTTTATAAAGTATAATTGGCTCCTAAAAACTTAGGTGTGAGAGTTGGTGGGTAACATGACAAGAGAAAAATAAATTAAGAGGGAATTATTCAAGTTAATTGAATACCTTCCTGTGCAGTTAAGTTAGCTAGTTAACATATAAAAAAAAATCTTCAATGATGGCCTATAAACATATACATTTTATAATGCATTTGAAATCATGACATCTTAGATTCTTACTCAGCATATCTGGCAAGCATCCAAATCTATATTTTACTTTAACTTCTATTTTTCTAGAAAGACAAGCTATATTTGTTTATGTGTAATCTTTTGGAGCTAGGTCTGTTCTACAGTATTCATCAGCATTACCTGGTAGAGCTCATTAATGGCATTTGCAAGTCACTGATTATCTTGTGATGCTCATTTAATGAGGGAATTTAAACTCATTTAGAGTATCTGGGTGTTTTCTCGTGATCTCTTTGCTTATCTGAGTCTTCAACTGTATCCTACACATATTTGTTCCAATCTTCCTTCTTCACAAATCAGTTTTATTAATGATGGAAAGCAAAGTAAGTGTTGGTTGCTCATTTCTCTGCATAGTGTACGTTATATCCCAAGCAGAGTTTTCATGCATATTTAAAATATTATTTTTGACATATTTAAAATCTCTGACTTTCTTTGGGTCTCTGTCCTTCTTTCACAATATTATTAATATAGGTATGCTATGTTATGTTTATCTTTTATTGTGCTCTGATATTTTTGCCTTTCTTGCTCTTCTCAAGGGACTTAAAATGCTGAGTTGGTCAAGGATATGTACTGTATATCTCCCTTATGAATAACTTATTTTCTCAGTAAAATGATTTACAATTAGAGCATAAGAACTCATTATTGCAAAACATTCAGACTATAGATTTATGTCTCTCTGTATCTGCTTCCTAAAGTCTGAAATCTTCCTTTCAAAAAGTCATATTGATGAATATGTTGCTTTATAATTGGAGGCATTTTAGTGTGGCATTTAAGAGTGAAGGCCTTGGAGTCAGACAAGGCTGAAATTAAACTCCAAAGTTCTCATTTACTACTTGTGAATTTAGTAATTCTTAATGAGTCCCAGAAACTACTTATTTGTCAATAAATGGCATAACAGTATACATCTAACTGGGTTACTGGGTCAACTTTATGAATTAATGATATAGAAAAATTAACCATGATATATGACAAATCACAAGTATTTAATTAATCTTTCTTGTTATTGACATTAATCGTTTTTTTCTTTGTAAAAGTGTACGTGTGTAATATTTCTTCAACTAATCACAAATCATTTGCCTTCAGAAATTTGCAGGTTTCAAAACTCTTACATCAATAAATATGGAATTTTTGAACCTTGTTTTCTTAATAAAAATAACATATTAGAACCTGTTTGAGGGTTACTTTTTATTTTATTTTACTTACTGCTTAATTTATTCCTTCTTCTTTTAATTTATTTGTTATTCACTTCATCTTTTTGTTCTTACTTTTCTCATCACTCTGGCTTTTCTATTTTTAGCAACAGGATTTTTTTTTTTGCTTTTTTACATGAAATTTCATTATATATTTTTCTAAATATTATCTGTATTGGTTTTGAGAATTTATTATAGATGGAGAAGATTTCCTGAATATTATGACTGGAAAGCAAATGTCAATTATATCATGCTTGCAATGTTTTAAACGAATTGTACATAGCAAGGGGTCACACGTTCTTCTGTCCTCTCTCCACGAATACTAAAAGATCACTTTATGACAAACAATTCTATAGCTGATGCAGAGAAATGACATGTTGAGGTTAATGCCTGGTTGTTGCTTCTTTTTTTTAAGCATATATTTTTAATAATTATGTCATTTTACTTCATTTATGCTAACTAGTTAATGATTCAAATTTTGTACAAATATGTAACATTTTAACTTAAGCAAACAGAATTTAACCCTTATTAAAATTAGAATGACTGAAGAAATACAAGTAATTTTCCATTATGCTATTCTACAATAATAAACATTTATGAAAATCTAACAGGCTGAATACCAAAGTTCACTGTGGTCCTTCCCCATCTTGTGGTTTTTGCATCTTACTGCAAAACTTCTGTGTTTGCTTCCGCGAAAGAAAGACAACTGAAGGATCATGTTCCAGCTGATAAATGCTTTGTTCACAGGCTTCTGGCCAGAAGTCATCGAATAGTTCACTCAACCAAACCACAGGAGGCTGGGGAATACGTGAGAGCAAGCACATGGCTATGTGATGACTAGGGAACATCTCAGCCACAGTAACCTTTCTCAGGTTTTTTTAGTTTCCTTATATTATTGTTTCCTAAGGAATTTTTCAAGGTAAGTACTCAATTGCATTGTTTGCTTTTCCTGATTCTATTGAAAGGTTCACGCTATATATTTTTTTCTCCTATTTTAATGTAATGTAATGAATCAAATCAATTATAGCAAACCCTCCTTTTATACCTAGGTCATATTATTTTAGTATGTTACTGGATATGGATTGCTATTATTTACAATTTTTGCATCTTTTTCACAAGATACTCTAGCCTGAACGTTTATGTCCATGTGGTATCCCCTCAGATTTTAAGAGCTAAATTATATATGCTTATTATAAGATTTTCAGAGTTTCCTCTTTTTCTGTTCTCTGGGAAAGTTTTTGTAAGATTGGTATAATGTCTTCCCTAAATATGAAATAATTAACTGAATAAGCAATCTGGAATATAAATTCTTTATTTAATATAATAATAATATTTATTTTATTAATAATAAATTTAAAATAAATAAAAATACGTTTAAAATGAATACATATTTTAAAATATAATTTTTAAAAAATAGAGCACATTCTTCATACTTCCTATTATTTTCCAGTTGAAGATTGTGTTTTTTAGAGCAAAGGTTCTCCTGATTGGGTTTATGCCAAATGTTGGAGGAGGAGGGGTGTGGATTGTGGGAACTGCTTCACCAACCTCTGTGTAGAACATGATGTAGTGTTGTTTGCATCAGCAACTATGCCAGATCCTTCTAAGAAATAATACGTAACGTGGGAGAATGTTCATTATCAAGCAACGTGGTGTCCTCTGTGCTAACAAACTTAGCTACTCAGCATAATGCATAATTTATCTACATGTCTACATCTTCTTTATTTGGTATATTGTGCCTACCAATATGTAAAGATAGTTTTTTTAAAAATTGTGTTTTTTAAATAACTCACACTATGTAATCTTAAGCTTATTTTCCTAAAGTTGCTTTTATATTTTTGAAAAGTCTGCGGAACTTAAAGTAATATTATCTTTTTTAACCTTGATATTGGAAGCTTATATTTTCTCTCTTCCATTTTTTCTTGATTAATCCTGCTGCATGAATCCTGCTTCTTTTATAAACGTAATCTTTTAAATGGCACAGTATTACCTTTGGTGATATTTTGATTGTACATTTCTTTCTATGTACCTAAGTTTCATTTCATCGTTATTATTTGCTGTCTTCTATCTATTTAGGTTTAGTTTGTACTTTTCCCCAGATGTTTAGTTCATTTGGTATCAGCCATTTTTTTTTCCTAATATGTGCACTTAATGCTTTAAGTTTCTTTCTGAGCACTACTTTATCTGAATTATAAAATGTCTTGCACAACATCTATTCATCATCAAACAGTTTAGATGTTTTCCTCATTATTATTTCAGTTGTTTTCTGTCATTCCTTATACTGAATAGAAATTATGAAAGGATTAAAATGATAGAAATATACCAATGAATTTAAGAAGTAAACAAAGCCAATATCTGATTCAATAATTTTTTCTAACATTATTTCAGACATTTGATTTCTAATTTATTTTTAATAATAGCTACATGTTGCTTAACATTTCCTATTGAATTCCATATAAAATAATAGAGAAATTCTAATATTCATTTGTTAATATTTATTTTTTATGTTGGAATGTTATGCAAATGTCAAGGAAGTTGAAGAAGTGATTTCATTATGGGGCAAAATCTAATGTAAATTATCTTTGCCCCAAATTATTTCAGAATATAATTGCATAAATTTAAAATATGGGAGAGGAACTGGGGGAATAATGAAAATTTAAAAATGTACTAATAAACAAAGCTAGTAATAATGACCACACTTCTTACATATAAAAGATCCTTTCTCCATAAAGCAAGTTAACACTTTAAGTATTTACCCTGTTTTTTTTAAATCATTTATCAAACTACTTTTTAAAGAAATAATAAGTGACAATTTTAAGAGTAGAACTAAATGATGAAAGATTTTTGTTTTTTACTTAGTGATTTAAATGGGAACCTATTGTTAAAATCATAAGAAATAATAGATCAGTATCTATTATGAACATGGATGCAAAAGTCTTCAATGAAGTATTAGCCAGATAAATCCAGCAATATAAAAATAATTTATTCTAGTCAGGTGTGGTGGCTCATGTCTGTAATCCCAACAGTTGGGCAAACTGAGGTGGGCAGATCACTTCAGGTCAGGAGTTCGAGACCAGTCTGGCCAACATGGTGAGACCTCCATCTCTTCTAAAAATATAAAAATTAGCTGGGCATGGTGGCACATGCCTGCAATCCAAGCTACTAGGGAGACTGAGGCAGGAGAATTTCATGAACCCAGGAGGCAGAGGTTGCAGTGAGCTGAGATTGCTCCACCGTACTCCAGTTTGGATGACAAAGTGAGACTTCACCTCAAAAAAATTAGAAAAATAAAGACAAAAGTAATTTATTATATGACAAAGTGACATTTATCTCAGAAATGCAAGATTAATTAAAATCTGAAAATATGTTAATATCATATATCATAAGAGTAAAATAAAAAACAAATGATTATTTTAGTAGCTGCAAAAAAAAACTTTTGGAAAAATTCAACAAAAATTTGTATCAAAATTTAATGTTTTGATAAAAAACACTCCAAAAACCAGAAATAGAAGGAATCTTTCTCTAGTCGATAAAGGGCATTTATGAAAAACACACAGCTAACTTACATGTAATGGTGAAAAACTGTGTGCTTTTTCCCTAAGATAAGGATTAAAAGAGGGATATGTGTTCTCACCATTTCTATTCAGTGTCGAACTAGAAGTACTACTGAGGGCAATTAGGCCAGAAAAATAAACTAAAAGTACTGATATTGGAAATAAACCAGAAAGACTGTCTCTATTCCCAGATGGCATGATCCTGTATATAAAAAAATCTAAAGAATTGAGTAAAATTACTGAAACTAATAAACAAATTCAGCAAATTTGCAGGACACAAGATAAATATGTAAAAATTAATTGTATTTATATATAATTTAAAAAGCAATTAAAAATAAAATTAAAAAACAATTTTATTTATAGTTGTATCAAAAATAATAAAATACTTAAATAAATTTAATAAAAGTACTGTAAAATGTACTCTGAAAACTACAAAACATTGTTGAAAGAAGTTCAATACTTAAATAATTTTTAAAAATTACATCTTCATGTACTATAAGATTTAACATAGTTAAGATAGAAATACTAACCAAATTTCCCTACAGATTCTATGCAGTCCATATCAGATTTTTCAGATTACTTGTGGAGTTGATAAGATGAATGTAAACTTTATATAAAATTAAATGGAACCCAGAATAGCCAAAACCATCTTGAAAAAGAGGAGTAAAGTAGGGGGACTCATATTTCCCAATTTTGAAACTCACTAGAAAGCAACAATAATCAAGGTGGTGTGATACTAGCAAAATGATAAAAGTATAAGCCATAGGATAAAATTAAGAGTCCAAAAATAAACCCACAGATCTATAGTTATTAATTTTCTAGAACTTTACCAAAACTGTGTAATGGTGAAAGAATGATAATTTTAACAAACTGTCCTGGGATATCTGGATCATCACATACAAAAGAATAAAGTTAAACTCACACTATATAAAAATTAACTCAAAATAAATTAAATTTAAATATAGGAGCAAAAACTATACAATGCTTAGAAGAAACTATAAGGGCCAACTTTTTGACCTTATACTTGGCAAGGGATTCTTAAATACAACACAACAAGCATTAGCAACAACAACAACAAATAAATAAACTAGACTTCATCAATATTAAACATTTTTACATTTCAAAGGACACCATCAAGACAGTGAAAAGGCAACCTATGTAATGGGATAAAATATCTACAAGTTACATATCTGATAAGAGGCTTGTTTCCAGAATATATAAAGGGAACTTACAACTCAGTAACATAGATACAAATAACTCAAATTTTTAAAATGAGTACATAATGTTAATTAACATTTCTTTAAGTAAGATTGCAAATAACCAATAGGCAAATGAAAAGATACCCAATTTAATTCATCATCAGGTAAATTAAGTCAAAAATATAATGAAATACCACCTTATACCCACTAGGAAGTCTAGAACTAAAAAGTCAGATAACAAATGCTGGCAAACAAGTGGAGAAAGCAGAACCCTCATATAGTGCTGGTGGAAATGTAAAATGGTATAGCGTCTTTGAAAAATAATCTGGTGACCCCTTACGTGATTACACAGAGATTTTCCAAATGGCCCAGCAATCCCACTCCTAGGTACATACACTCGGAGAAATGAAAATTACGTTTACAAAGAAACTTGCACAAAAACATTTGCAGCAATGTTATTCATAATAGTCAAAAGGTATAAACAATTCAAATGCCCATCAACTGATGAATGAATAAACAAAATGTGGTATATACATGTAAAGTGACATTATCCAATTATAAAAAGGAATGAGGGAGGATAAGGTCCAAGAATCACTTGAGGCCAAGAGTTGCGGAACAACCTGAACCACATAATGGAAATGAAGTATTGGATGCATAGTATAACAGGATGAACCCTGAAAACATTATGTTAAGTGAAAGAAGTCGGTCACATAGGACTACATAGATAATTCCATTAATATAAAATGTCCAAAACAAGGAAGCCCATAGAAACAAAAACTAGGTGAGTGGTTGACTAGGGTTGAAGGAAAGAAAAGGATCACAGAGTGGTGATAGCTAACGTGTACCAAGTTTCTTTTTGTAGTGACAAAAACGTTCTAAAATTGCTTGCAAATATAGATGCTCTTCAACTTGCAATGAGGTTATGTTTTAGTAAACTCATCATAAGTTTAAAATACTGCATGTCAAAAATGTATTTAGTATGCCTAAACTACTAGAATATTATAGCTTAGCCTCTCCTACTTCAAATACACTCAGAAAACTTACATTAGCCTAAAGTTAGGCAATGTCATCTAACACAAATTCTATTTTATAATGAAGTGTTGAATATCTCATATAACATATTGAGTGTTGTACCAAAAATAAAACAAAGAATGGTTGTATGGTTATGTAAAGTATGATTTCCACTGAATACATATCACTTTCACACCACAGTGAAGTTGAAAAGTTGTAAGTTCATTGAAAGTTGGGGAATGTCTGTATCTGTGAATATACTAAAAACCATTGAATTCTATATCTTAAATGTGTAAATTATGTGTCCTGTGAACTATATTTCAATAAAGCTGCTTTAAAAATATTCTTTGACAACTGTATTATACATGAATATGTAGTCAAAACCAAAGTTGTAAAGGAACAATTGCAATAATTTCTACAATTTTACAAGTGCTTGATATACAACCCAAGCTACAAATAGAGCCCTGTGTGAAGCAGCATATGCCAATTCATCCCAGCATTTTTGTAGGACATGCTATTGATGCTGGAGATGGCAGCCATGGCTCATTCCTTCATTTCCTCAGGACTGTGAGGTTCTTGACTCATCCTCATAAAGATGTCAATGATATGATATCCTAGGGGTCCGGGGGAACTACTATATTCCAAGGCAAACTGGCGTTTCAGGAAAAAGCCCTCCCCATTTCCTCTGAATATATCCATAAAATTAATAACTTCATAAAGACTTTCTAAAGCTGAGGGAAAACCCTTCAGTGTGAGGCAATTTATAACCCATCACTACGTTCTTTACACACACACACACACACACACACACACACAGAGGCTCAAAGATTTATAGTCTTATCACTGAATTAAAAACAACTTGCAGAGTCAACTTTGTCTTCTATGTGAGCCTGGAAATGACAGCTGAAATTTTATTTTCCCTTATCTACCTCCAGCAGGGTTTACTGGGTGAACAAAAAGGTTTCACCTTTCACCAATCAAAGAGGAACACGAAACTCTCAAGCAGGCCTCCCTGTTGATGAACTGGGCTGAATGGTGATGCAAAGATGATTCGCGGCTTTTCAGCTATGAAAAGTAAGAGCAGTTCAAACTTAATGCCTAATACATGTTGACTAGGCACTGAACAATACATTTTTGAATGTGTTCAATTAGTTTGAATTATTTTGCATATACTCAATAAAAATTACGTTTTCATTCATAATTTTTTATAAATTTGTATTTTACTATTTACCAAGGTATCTAAGCACACTTTAAAATAGGCACACGTAGATATCACACTGTCTTAGTCCATTCAAACTGCTATGCCATAAATTGGTTTGCTTATAAACTAAAAACATCTATTTCTCACAGTCTGGGGGCTGGGAAGTCCAAGATCAACATGACAGCAGATTTGGTGTTTGGTGAACAATCACTTCCTCACAGATGGCCATCTTCTCATTGTAGCCTCACGTGACAGAAAGGTCAGTGTGGAGATCTCTCTGGGATCTCTATTATAAGGGGATGAATTTCATTCGTGAGCGTTCCACCCTCATAACCTAATCACCTCCCAAAGGTTCTACAACCCAAAACCATCACCTAGAGTATTAGGATTTCAACATATAAATTTTGAGGGGATGCAGACATTCAGTCTATTGCACATACCATAATAGTGTGTCACTTTATAAAGTGTCATGACTTTTACATACACAATTCATGCTCAGAGTAATCCTTAAAGACAAATATGATCTCCATTTTATAGATAAGAAAACTGAGGCTCAGAGAGACAAGTCACTTGATAAATGTCTGGCCATGAGCAGGTCATAGAACTGGGATTTGTTCCCAAACCTAGCTAAATCTACGACTCTAAAATTAACTTTTATTCACTATAAATTAACCATAAATATCAATCAGGTTCAGTGGCATGCCTCTGTGTGTATGTTTACTTTGCTTATTTATTTGGATGTAGTCAGAAAATAATTGTTACTATTTAGTTCATTATGTTTACTATAATTTGTTCACAGGTTTGACATTGTATATTTTCCAACACTGTTACTTAGAATATAGAGATTTGTGACAGTTATACCTTCATTGTTCACTGTATACTTCATCATTATAAACTTACCTAGTTTATTACTTTAAAATAGATTTTTGCCTGTGTCGGATAAAGAAAGTATATAATAAAAAAGATTAAGAAAAAAAGTGCTGCTAAGCATTGAATTCTGATGTTCAATATATTTGTGTTCAAAATCACACACATACAAGCACTGTATACACAGGCATGAGGTTATCATCTAATCAGATTCTATCTGTAATTAAGGTGAAGCAAGAGGCAAAACCTTTCTTGTTGAATAGTTGGATTATTGATAATATTTTCATCAGGTCCCTTCAAGGTAAATCAAGAATCTTTCGGCCCAGCACAGTGGCTCCCACCTGTAATCCCAGCACTTTTGGAGGTTTATGTGAAGTCTTTCTACTTTTTTCATGTGGGTATTCATTTCTATAAACTTTCCTTTTAGAACTGCTTTCCGCTGTATCCTATATGTTTGGGTATGCTGTATTTCAATTTTCATTTTTCTCAACAAGTTTCTAATTTCTTCGTTAATCTAATTATTGTTCAGGAACACATTATTTCATTTAATTTCTATGGATTTGTACAGCTTCCAATGTTCCTTCTGTTACTGGTCTCCAATTTTATTTTGTGGTGGTCAGAAAAGATGTTTGATACGATTTTAATTTTTAAAAAAATGTGTTAAGACTTATTTTGTGACCTAACATATAGTTTATCCTGGATCACTCGAAGCCAGGAATTTGAGACCAGCCTGGGCAAAAAATTGAGACCGTTTCTCTACAAAATGTTAATAAATTAGCCAGGTGTGGTGGTGCCCACCTGTAGTTCCATCAACTACAGAAGCTGAGTTGGGAGAATCGCTTGAGCTCAGGAGTTTGAGGCTGTAGTAGTTTATGATCACACTACTGCAGTGTGGCCTGGGTGACAGAGTGAGACTGTGTCTCTAATTTAAAAAAGAAAAACATATTTAAAAGAAATTTTAAAATGTTTTAAAGTTTTTTTTTTTTTTTTTTTTTTTTTTTTTTGTCTTTTTGCCTTTTTGCTTGCCTGAGTTCTCATTGGTCAACTGATACTTTCAATACCTGCAAAAACTGTACCTTCCAATGAGAGTATTTATATCATGTTCCAGGAGTGGCTGAATTTTACAGAGAGGAAAAAAATAACAACAACAACAACAACAACAAAAAGAAACTCACTTTGTGTTCTGGGTCTTAAATTTGGGTGTTTAATTGGTGCAATAAATATCAGAAATAGGAAATAAAAAACCTATCAAACCTCCAAAGTTATTTCTGATGTCTTTGGGGCAACAAACTGCAAGATGACATTCTGGTTATATGCTTTGATACCGGTCAGTCTGCGAAGTTGTTATTTAGGTTTTGCAAAAAAGTATGTGTAACTGCAAAGTGATTTCATGACACTTGTGTTTTGCAATACATTGTTATTTAAAAAGCTTTAAAATATTTACTATTATTTTGTATCATAGCACTTCACACTTTTATATTGATATGATAAACCTACTTCCTTTATGTATTAATGATGTATAGTTAGTTGTTCTTTTATAATTCTATATGATGCTTTTTATAATTCTATATGATGCTTTTTAATGTTTTTTGTCCATTTGTTTTTGTTTGTTTGTTTGTTTTGGGGGAGATGGAGTTTTGCTTTTGTTGCCCAGGCTGGAGTGCAATGGCACAATCTTGGCTCACTGCAACCTGCGCCACCCAGGTTCAAGTGATTCTCCTGCCTCAGCCTCCCGAGTAGCTGGGATTACAGGCATGTGCCACTACACCCAGCGAATTTTGTGTTTTTCGTAGAGACGGGGTTTCTCCATGTTGGCCAGGCTGGTCTGGAACTCCCAACCTCAGGCGATCTGCCCGCCTCGGCCTTTTAATGTTTTATTACAACCCTATAGTCTTTAAATATGCTTGTAATTCTTTTAAATTTAGGATGTATAGCCCGTTCATAATTATTGCTATAGGACATGTGGTTTTGCTTTTGTCATCTTTATATTATTACTAATATTATTACCATATTTATTTCTATTTCTTCCATTTTTATGTGGTTACTAAGTTTTACAATTCAGTCAAATGCTGTATTTTTAATCTATATCACCTTAAAACCAACCATTTGAGACAAGGGAATATGAAAATAATTTTTTTTTCTCTATCTACTTTTGCTACTCAATTCTCAGTCTTTGTCAATAAATTATTAAGAAATTTTAACAGTTATTATGTTGTATTATATTATTTTTTTCTAATATTCTCATACATTAAATTTTACATATAATTGAAGCATAAACATCAATTGGTTTTAATATTTCCAAGAATTTCTTTTATAAATATTTCATAATGCTTAGGAAACCTTTATTCGATGGTAGGAACACCTGAAAATCTCATATCTTGCATTTGCCTTCACAAAAAAAGTTAATTTTGCTGGGTATCAAATTTTAGAATTCAAAACTTATATTTGATCAATCTTATACATGTAAAGCTTTGGTATTATAACATTTAGTATTTCAGTTAACATATTAAATAACAACATAATTTTTAATAATTTTTAAAACTTTATTTTTATTTATTTATTCTTTTAGAGACAAGGTGTCACTCTGTCACTCAGGCTGGAATGCAGCGGCACAATCTCTGCTCACTGCAACCTCCACCTCCCAAGCTCAAGTGAGCCTAGTACCTCAGCCTCCTGAGTAGTTAGAACTGCAGGCATGCACCACCATATTTGGCTAATTTTTGTATTTTTTATTTAGACAAAAGTTTCACCATGTTGCCCCGGCTGGTCTCAAACTCCTGGACTCAAGCGGTCTGCTCACCTCAGCCTCCCAAACTGCTGGGTTTATAGGTGTGAACCACCATGCATTACTTGAACTATTTTTTTTGTGAGGATTTTTAGTTTTATTTTGCAGGGGCCTTTGAAAACAGTATGCTGAGAATAGATAGGGCTCAAGGACAGTATCTCCAATTGAACTTTTAATGAACTCCCGTAGGCGCCAAGAAGGCGGGCAGATAAAGAAGAGCATAGAAACAAAGAACTGAGTAGAAGGTTACATCTGGGAAAAGAAAGTTTGTTTTGCATTGCATTCTTTCTGCTGATGTGGGGTTTATGGAGTATAAATAAAGTGAGGCAGAGGCTCTGGGCGCGGCCGCCATGTTCTCTGTGTGTCTTTGTCTTTTGTGTGTTCTTTCATTCTCCACCACCCCCGGCACAGACCCCAACATTATTTACTTAAAATGTTTCATATTACTGAGAATATTAGATGAAAATATTAGAATAAATAAATAGTTAGAATATTTGATGAAAAGGTCATATTGATAGTGCTGGAGATTTTGTTGGTTGTCACAGTATTTCTGGAAAGATGTTTGGCAGAATGTAACAAAAGTGATACAAAATGTTAGAGGTTATTTGAGCTGATGAAATTACATGCCAAAAAAATTTGCAAACTCAGGCACTATACAAGAATTATTATTTAGTTCAGATGAATGTTATAGCATTTTATTTATCATTGTCTATGTCAACACCTATCTGTTTCATCCATTTGAGAGTCTATTTCAGAGAAACCAATTATCTCCATGTGTACTTTCTACTGCTTTCCTCAATCTTAATAACTGTAATCATTTATTATCTCCGTGTTTATTAGTTCTCCATATTCTGGGAATCCCACAGTATCTTCTATTATACAAACATGATTTCCTATTTTTGGACTACATATTCTCCAAATATAATTTAAATCTCTTTTGTTTTAGATACCCGAATACTGAAAACTGACAGCATGTGACAATTTATTTCATCGGCTTGTAAAGATATCCATTGCAGTTACATATCTTAACATCGCAAGCTCCAGTTTTTGTTTTTTTATTTGTTTGTTTTTGTTTGTTTGTTTGTTTTGAGATGGAGTTTTGCTCTTGTCATCCAGGCTGGAGGGCAATGGTGCGATCTTGGCTCACTGCCACCTCTGCCTCCTGGGTTCAAGCAATTCTCCTACCTCAACCTTCCAAGTAGCTGGGAATACAGGCACTCGCCACCATGCCTGACTAATTTTTGTATTTTTAGTAGAGATGGGGTTTCACCACGTTGGCCAGGCTGGCCTCAAACTCCTAACCTCAGGTAATCCGCCCACCTCAGCCTTCCAAAGTGCTGGGATTACAGGCATGACCACCACGCCCGGCCACAAGCTCCAGTTCTATGGAGATCTTCTATTATTGGAAATGTGAACCTTTTCTAAACTTTCTTCTGATTTCTGCAGCAAATTATTTTCAATAATATGATTTACTTGAGTCTTAAAAATTATGCGATGTTTTATTTAAGACATGTGAGGTCCCATTTTGCCATTTTATCTTTGAATTATACAGGGCAGCATCGGTTAGCATGTGAGGGCCAGCAGACGTATTGAAGGTTACACTTGGTTATATACTTTGTCTAGCTGTGTAGTCATCAAATCCTCTTTTCAGACCTATTGCTAGGCAGGGGAATTTATTTCAACTTCCAGTTACTAATGAGATTATACAAATTATCTTCTTCTGTAGGAGAAGTAGCATCTTTCTCTCGTCCATATTATAGATTCTCTATTATTCCTATGCAGGGGATGCAAAACCACTTGGATGGAATACTGCTAGAGATTGCCTCTTTCTCCATTCCTACTTCAGGAATTTTATTGGTTTTAATTTGCATATCCTATAATAAGCAATTAATTTATCTAGTTCTACTTCCTTATTTTTAGAAACAAAAAATTAAATTGATCAAAAATCTAACATGAAATATACTTGCACTCATAGGTGGGAATTGAGCAATGAGATCACTTGGACACAGGAAGGGGAACATCACACACCGGGGCCTGTTGTGGGGTGCGGGGAGCGGGGAGCGGGGAGGGATAGCATTAGGAGAGATACCTAATGTAAATGACCAGTTAATGGGTGCAGCACACCAACATGGCACATGTATATATATGTAACAAACCTGCACGTTGTGCACATGTACCCTAGAACTTAAAGTATAATAATAATAATAACAAAAAGGAAATATACTTGCAGAATATTTTATGAAAAAGTCATATTGATAGAGTGCTGGAGATTTTGTTGGTTGTCATAGTATTTCTAGAAGGATGTTGGGTAGAATGCAACAAAAATGATACAAAATATTGGAAGCTATTTGAACTGATAAAATGACAGTTATTGCTACAAAGAAATCATTAGAGATATTCAGAAATCTTTAAACTATGCATGTATTTAGTATTATATATATCAGTAAGATTTTAGATTGGATTTAAATATTTAAAACAAAGGTATTCAAAAATAATTATGAGATAAAATGAAATAATTACATCTATGGATTTATAAATATTTCTTGAAAATCTTGTTATAAATGAGATTCATTAGCATGTCAAAATATTCAAAAGTAATATTAAATGAAATGAGGTTAGGTTAAAATATTAAAACAAAGAACTGATAATAATATAAAAGATAGAATATAGATTATATTTTGAGATAGTGATATTGTATCTTTATATTTTGAGGTGTTTTCTATATTTTGTATAATAAGTATAGATTACATTCATCAAATAAAAATTATGATAAAATTACTGCAACAATTTCTTGGGGCTAAGTGGTTTTCTAATTTTACTTATAACTTCTTTCTTAATTTGTTATGAACACATCTTGAAGAGAATGTAAAATTCAACATACTGGTCTGATATATTGTTAACTACGGACTT